CCTCTGCAACCCATTGGAGCCGACGTCAGTGACGCTTTGAGGCTCTCCAAAGCCTGTTGTGCTTCCTCAGTCTAGACGAAAGCGTCTATCTATTTGAGAAGCTTATAGAGAGGCATCCCCCGCTCGCCTACCCGGGAGATGAACCTGCCTAGGGTGGACAAGCAGCCGGTGAGCCTTTATACGCCCTTGACATTGCGTATAGGACCCATGTTGGAGATGGCCGTGATTTTTTTGGGGTTGGCCTCGATACCGCATTCGGACACGATGTATCCAAGCAGCTTCCCTTTTGGAACCCCGAAAACACACTTTTCGGGATTCAATTTGATGTTGAACCTTTGAAGGTTCGTGAATGTCACGACCAAGTTTGCGATCAAGTCGCAGCTTGAGTCGTTTTGACCACTATGTCATCAACATAGACGGCGATTGTTGGTTTTGGCCGCTTGACCTAGTCAGGCTGATCGAGCGGGTCGATTTGATCAGCGAAGCATTGCTGCATGCACCGTTGATAGGTGGCGCCAGTATTCTTCAGACTGAAATGCATGGTTACGTAGCAGTACGAACCATACGGGGTGATGAATGAAGTCACGAGCTGGTCGGACTCTTTCATCATGATCTGGTGATAGCCTGAGTAGGCATCCAGAAAGGAGAGGAATTCGCATCCTGAGGTGGAGTCGACTATCTGGTCTATGCGTGGCAAAGGAAAATGGTCCTTTGGGCACACCTTGTTGAGGCCGGTATAATCAACGCACATTCTCCATTTTCTGTCTTCTTTTTAACAAGAATAGGATTGGCAAGCCAGTCGAAGTGATATACCTCCTTGATGAATCTGGCTACCAGGAGTTTGGTGACCTCCTCGCCTATGGCCCTGCGCCTCTCGTCCTCGAAGCGACGCAGGCGTTGCTTGGCGGGCTTTCAGCCTGGGAGTTTGGTGTAGTGCATGCTCGGTGATCTCCCGTGGTATGCCTGGCATGTTAGAAGGTTTCCATGTGAAGACGTTGTGGTTGGCGCATAGAAAGTCGGTGAGCTCACATTCCTATTTGGTCGAGAGCTGGGTCCCAATCCGCACCGTCTTGGTTGGGTTAGTGGGGTCGATCCCCACCGCCTTAGTCTCCTTGAGTGGGCGGAAGGTAGACGAGGAGGTTGGCTTGTTGCAGTCCAGGACTGCTGGAGTCGATGAATCTCTGAGCTGAGGGAGCTCGACTGAGTTGATGATGGTAGTGGCGAGCTTGAAATGCTCGCGGTCGCACGTGTAGGCATGCGAAAAAAGTGCTACCCACAGTGATGACGTTGTTCGGTCCTAGCATCTTCAACTTGAGGTAGGTGAAGTTGGGGATCGCCATGAACTTGGCGTAGCATGGCCGCCCCAAGATGGCGTGGTAGGACCCTGGAAAGCCCACCACTTTGAAGGTGAGGACCTCCAAGCGGAAGTTGGCTCGGTCGCAAAATGTGACGGGCAGGTCAATCTGCCTGAGCGGGTATGCCTGTGTTCCTAGGATCACGCCGTGGAAGGGAGAGCTCACTGGGTGGAGCTCCGACCGGGGGATGCGCATGGCATCAAGGGTGTCGACGTAGAGGATGTTGAGTCCGCTGCCTCTATCCATCAGCACCTTAGTGAGGCGCTTCTTACGGACAATGGGGTCGATGATGAGCGGGTAGCGACCCGGTCTGGTGATATGGGAAGGATGGTCCCTCTGATCAAAAGTGATTAGAGATTCTGACCAGCTAAGGAAGGAGGGGACGACCATTTCGGCGACGCATGCCTCTCTGTATCGCACTTTGTGTTGGCGCTTGGAGTAGATGGCATCAGATCCTCCGAAGATCATAAGGCATTCCTCAGGATCGGGAAAGTCGTCCCCATCCTTGCTCACCGTGCCTCCTTTCTTGGCTGCTGCCTCCTTGCCCTTTCGCTCTTTCGGCCCGCCGGCCTATCGCAGAAAGTGCTTGAGGAGTTCGCAGTCCTTGTAGAGGTGCTTGATGGGGTAGGCGTGGTTGGTGCATGGGCGCTCCATGAGTTTGTCGAAGTGGTCAGGCTGGCCCTACTGGGGCTGCTTGCCCACGCGATCAGCCACGGCGACCAACGTGGAGTTGGCCGGTCGGCGCCGATCCTTTTTGTTCTTTTTGCCCCTCTGTGTGGAGGGGCCCTCATCTTGGTCCTCGCGCTTGGCCTTGCCCTTATCCCGGCCTCCACTAAAGACCGCTCCGATTGCCTCCTCATCGGAGGCGTAGTTCGTGGCGACATCGAGCAGGTCGCGGGTGGTATGGGGCTTCAGATAGCCGAGCTTGTGGATCAGGGACTCACAGGTTGTCTCGGAGAGGAATGCGCTGTTGACGTCCGCGTCGATGACATTAGGAAGGGAGTTACATCATTTTGAGATCCTATGGATGTAATCCCATAGGGACTCATTGGGCTCCTGTTGGTAGCTCTTGAGGTCCCTGGAGTTCCTAGGGTGGACATACGTCCCTTGGAAATTCCCGATGAAGATCCTCTTGAGATCCGCCCAATCGTGGATGCTGTCATGCGAGAGGAATTCGAGTCATGCTCGAATGTGTCCCCCCATGTAGATGGGGAGGTATTGAATGATGAAGTGGTCATCATCCACTCCTCCAGCTGGGTAGGCAAGCTGGAAGTCTTCGAGCCATATATCGGGATTCGTCTCCCTGGTATATTTGGTGATGTTGGTGGGCGGTCGGAAGCGCTGTGGGAACGACGCTCTCTAGATGCGTCGGCTAAAGGACCATGGTCCAAGGCCATCTGGGCTAGGACTCTGGTCGTCGGGTCGGTGACCATGCCTAGGGTGCATTTCACCGGTCTACTCGATGGTCCAGCCGGAGCCCGTGTCGCCTGCTCTTACCACCGCCTGATGGACGTCATCATTGTGCCGAGCCTGACGTCGGTTGTTGATGACGCTACGAGCGTCTCGGTTCGGCCCGAGGCATTCGCGCATAGGTAGACGGTGTGGAGCGGGCGCTGGGTCAGGCCGTGGTGCAGTTGTGGCCTCCCGTTCCACGCCCGACGACTGTAGCGGTGAGCGAATGGAGCAATTCAACTGGTGCGACCACGACACGGAGTTCTCCACCTGTTGAACGGTGGCGGTTTCCACAAGCGCCCGAAGGTTCCGGTGAGCCACCTGCTCCTGGGGGTCGACAGGCTCTGGAAGGCCGCGCAGGAGCATCGCCGTAGCGGCGATGTTCTGGCCAGCCCGAGCGAACTATGGGGGTCGTTTCCCCCGTCCATGATGTTGCGCTGGACCTGGCGGGCGCGAGCCCAGGTGCCGCTCACTGGGTTACACGCGAGTGGCGCAGCGTGCTGTGCCAAGCGTGCCGGTGCAGGTGGCGGCTGGTTCTGCTGCCTTTGTCGTAGCTCCTCACCGTGCTCCTATGCACATGCGAGGGCCTCCGCGCGAGGGTTTAGAGGGGTGTGGGTCTATAGAGACTCCGCCACCACCAGCGGCTATCCCAGAGTGTCCACCATAGTGCACTCCTGAGACAGAGAGTGGCTAGGTGCCACGACAT